ACAATTTCATAGCCATCTTGTTTGCAGTGCCTGCAATTCCCTTTTGCCATTATAAAATTAAAATCCCTACTTGCTTATGTATACATACACATTTATATAGAGAGAGATATTTGGAAGAGGCGACAAAGGGAGATAGTGTCGTATGTGAGCGTGTTACTATGTGGGGTAGGTGGAATAGTGGTGGTGGGGATGGCTTTGCTAGTGGCGTTCTAGGAGAAGTTATTATATGTGCCGGTAGTGAATGGTTTAACCAAGTCATATCCCATCACCCCTGCCCGCCTCCGCCTCATATACGAGGATGTGTGGCTCGGATCCTCTGATGGCAAGACTCCATTCCTGGTTCATCAAGCTATTCCCCGACTGCCAAGGTCTTAACTATGAATTTAATTTAAATTTAACTGTGTTCATACATGAATTGAGGTAGAGATTTCGTGGAGGTGGAGATGGTTGGTGTGGAATTTGGGATTTGAGGTGGGGTGGGGTGGGGTGGGAGGAAGAAGAAGAGAGCCAGAGAGGGTTGTGTTTTTTTATTTTTTATTTAATTCTTATTTAATGTGATAAATGAGAATTTACTCTTTTACCCCTTTTCAAAATATTAAAAATGTAGTCAAAACTAAATTTTTGGTCAACTAACGGATTTGTGGATGGAAACCGTTCAAAAGGGCTTTACCTACAACGTTTAGAAAGGTTAGGGGTGATGGCTGGGGAAGAAGAAGAAGAGAGCCAGAGAGGGTTGTGTTTTTTTATTTTTTATTTAATTCTTATTTAATGTGATAAATGAGAATTTACTCTTTTACCCCTTTTCAAAATATTAAAAATGTAGTCAAAACTAAATTTTTGGTCAACTAACGGATTTGTGGATGGAAACCGTTCAAAAGGGCTTTACCTACAACGTTTAGAAAGGTTAGGGGTGATGGCTGCAACAAATCAAAGGTTTGGGGAAAGTCTGCTAATGTTTCATAGGTTTGGGACTTCTGTTGCAATTTTCCCTAAAATCAATATTAAAGTCATTCAAATGAGTAGGCAATAACAATTTCAGCACGAAGTCAACGACGTGTGGAAAGTTAGACCTAGGTGACAATGCTATAGATAATTCTCAAACTATGTCATCAATAATTGTATCAACTACAAATGTGAATGTGGACACGAAGGAGATCAACACAATGCTCAAAACAATCATTCTTGGCAACCAACTTATATTCATCAATGATGTCGCTATTCCACTCAACGGTATCATTAGCCTTTGTGCAAATGGAGGAGACAAGCATACTATAATCATTAAAACAAATAACTAAAGATTTTATAGATTGTATCAAGTAAGGTTTGTGTTACAATATTTTGAAAAAGGTTTTAAACTTTTAAAACAAATTTTAATTTTGAGTCTTAATTTTTAAAATTAATTTTTGATAGAAAATTAAGTCTCATAATTTAGATTGTAACTTATACTTAAATATGATTTATTTTCTTGAATGTGGAGGTTGAATTTCTCCATATAAAAATGAGTGATTTTCATGGGGTTAATTATAACATGAAAATGATAGTTTCATAGAATACTCTCTACACTTGTATATTATCTTCTATGGTTTTGGCTACTTGATAAGGCCTCGACTCATGATTTTTGGGGATTGCGATCGCAATTTTGGCCGAAGTTTGTTTTGATCCAAGATTTGCTCCTTTGTTCAGCTTTAGCCCTTTCTTCGTGCAGTTTTCATAATTTGTCTTCTAATTCATCCAATTGACTTAGTATTAATTTCGACCTTTATTACTTGGTCGAAATCAAGTTTGGAACATTTATAATTTAGTCCCTAAATGTTCATATTCTTCCTTTTTCGTCGATCTTCGTTCTTTTCTTCTAAATTCACTTTCAATCGTTGAGTTTTACCTAGCCAATAATACATACAAGAGATTAAGCCATAATTCATCATTAGTGATCCCAAATATCTACCGTCAGTTCCTTGGAAATAGAAGTATAATAGTTCAAGGGAACAAGTCTTAAAAGCACTTATATTGTTCTTTGAGAATTTAATACAAAAAAAAATGATGTGTACAGCAACTCCTTAACAAACTATTAAGAAAACATCTTGTAATTTTGGCAGATATTGCAATGTAACGAGCTCCTCCTATAGGTCCCACAATTGTAATTAAAACTCCGACAAAAAAGGAAATCTGCAAATTAAAAAAAAAATAAAAAATGAAAATGTTAAGATTTGCAGGTTTTGTTGTATATTTGTTATTAAGAGATAGAATCCACATTAAATACATTAACAAGATAGAATATTTATAAAAGTAGCCTTAAATTTATTATTGCATAACTATTTGTTTAGTGAAAAATTGGCATGATCTTTACTTAATTTTATTGTAAGATAAATAAAATGCATTTTACGTACCCAAGATGCAATACAATGAAAGCCTCACCTCGCAGATCCACTGATTGAGCTACTCATTGAGAAATCTCATCGACCAAATGCACAGAAGTGGATGTTTGAACCTGAAAATATGAGTGGGCCTCTAAGGACCTTACCAAATAAGGCTGATCGAACCATTCCCTAGTAACAAATTGAGTTGAAGAGTAAAGTTCGAACCTTTCTCGAAAGTCTTATAAAAAGTACAAACCCTGTTAAGAATTGGAATTTCATCTTAAAAGGTCAACTTTCTTAAGAGAAATAGTTCAAACTCTTATAAATTGGTCCATGTTTCATCTTTGTTCGATATGTAATATATCCCTTGACATACCCTGCAAAATGGTAACTTTGTGAGCAAATCAATCTTGAATTCGATACGCTCTTTTTTTGTTGGTAAAAATGGTTATGAAATGGGTCAACTTTGAGCCCAAATTTCAATAGGACCCACCTTTTAATTAATATGGGACCTAGCATATTCACGTTCTACTCCGCGAGATAATTAACGTGATATATTTATTTATCGAAAATCATTTAAAATTGAATGAAATATTAAGTGTTAAAGTAACCCACATAAACTAAGTATTATGGAAGAATTTGATTTTCCAAATACTTATCTCACATAGAAAAGTTAAGAAACTTTGGTGTGGTTTATAAGGTAGAAGTTTGGAATTGGGTTTGAACCCCAAGAGGTATCAATAGTCTTTCGAAGGGGGAAGACTTATATCCTATTGGGTTCGGTCATAAACCCACACGCGCGCGCCGTCGCCGTCGGCCGGCCGGCACGCACGAGCACGTGCCCGAGTCGGTGCGGGTGTGGAGTGGACTTTTGCACTATATTAACTTTTTGGACATTATGAAATTTAAATTTTGGCTTATTCCGGGTGTTTTATTTTCTTTTAACAGTCGTCTGTTTACCGACCAAACAGTCGACTGTTAACCGACTTAACAGACGCGACTTTTAAAAATAGCATGTCTATTCGGATTTTGAGATTTGTCTGAAAGGTGATGACTGTTCGAATGGCCACGAACAAGTCTATAAATAGCCAGCCTCTCTACCAGAAAATTTACATCATTTTCATTGCAAACTTTCTGTACTTTGAATCTCATTCACTCTCTCTCGTTCTGATATTGTTTCGAAATAAAACACACTTCGTTGAGTTCGTTGGAACTCCTGCAGATTTCAGTGCTACTACCGTAGGAGACGAAAATTCGTTCTATCCTGAGAAACGATTGCTGGACGCCTTTAGCACCATTGAATGCAGCAAATTCGTTTTAAGGAAACATCGTGAAGTCGGTGGGCCCGAATTACATTTTATATCCTGTTGATCAATTCTTTACATTTAGGTGATTCTATCGAATTGGTTTCGAAGGAGTAACGTCAAACTCTATAAACAACATTTTTTATTCTTAATCGAATCGAATTGTTCATTAGAGTTAATAGACTCTGATATTATGTTAAGTATTGATGTTTTATTTTAAAAATCAAATTTATTAAAAAGGAGCAAACTAAACTCTTATAAATTAGTCTATATTTCATCTTTATTCGATCTAGAGTTATATCACTTAACAAATCCGAGAAACATATACACCAAATTTACCTAAAAAGTACTTAGGAGTTTGAAGAATCCCAGAAACCTATAGATAATCTTCAACTGAAATGCTTAAAGCTTCACCTTCATTGGACCTATCACTCCACTCCCATGATGTTTCCCAATTTTCATTATGCAAAAAATTCATCTCATAATCTTCATTCACTTCCGCCATATTCAAAGATAATTGAGCATCAATGGCCATGCCAGCATCTGAGGCCTTCTTTTGTACCGATGAGGGAGACATCGTTGTCCAGGCCCCAGCCGGTAACATTGAAGGGAAATTGAATTTTTCCGGTGATGAAATTCCTCGTAGATAATAAAATGCAACATCATGTGCTATTGCTGCAGCTTCAGGGGATGCATAAGAGCCTAACCAGAGACGTTCTTGGGAGCCGGGAACTCTAATTTCCGATACCCATTTGCCCCATTTTCTGCGTCGAATGCCTTTGTATTTCTTCTGGGGTGTGCTTGTCTGAATCATACTTTTATCTGAAATAACAGTCATTCTACAAGTTTTTTTGTGAACTTCTATTGAATATTGTAAAGAACTTGTTTGTATGTACAAGAGCGAGTGCATGAAAGGGCTTATATAAGTTGATTAATGAAAGGTCAAACGGGACATTGGGGACACGGGGAGGCAAGAATGTATATATCAAGTCAAGAATTTCAAATGTCAAAAGTCAAAAGTTCAATTTGGTCATTAATCTCTCCAATTTGTAATCAATGTTGAGATTACAGATTAAAATTCAGATTTTAATTTAAATTAAAGTTAATAATTAATTTTAACTACATATTTTATAGATTTCACAACTTTTCAACTATATATTTTTTTTTTCAAAATTTATTAAAAATCTAATTTAGTCCCCCATGAAATAGGGACAGTATATTTTAACATGATATTATAAAATCATGCTATATGTGCAATTTAGTTTGATGATCTTGATTGACAACTTACACTTGACAATATTACATTCATTCATTTCAAAAATTATTTTTTAAATCAATAGTCCGAATTTTGACAACATCAATATTGTCAACTATCATAGCCAAGCATGATTGTATAAATAACATAGTTGTTAAAAACAATGAATTTGGCACGTACTGATAAAGAATGTTGAAGATAAAAATTAGAAAAATAAATGTATCCTCTCTTTTTAATATTTTCAATCTAAAGTGAAATTTTTAAAATTAATCTATTTGTAGAATTATAATTGACAATATTTAATGTGATGTTGATTGTCGACAAATGTTGTCAACTATCATTAAACATATGGCACGGTTGAAATTTTTCTATGTTTGACCGTGAATAAGGGCCATTAATAGATTGCAGTTTTCCATCACTCGTGACGTAATCAAAATTGGTAATTATAACTTGGAATGTTCAGAATGAAAATAACGTTTGTTTATTTTCATCATAGGTGGCGTCATCAACCTGGTCGGTTTGACTAGGGTCGAGATCTATGTTTGAAAATGGAGTCATAGCACACGATGTCCAGAACTATTTTCATCATAGGTGGCGTCAGCAACGAGGATATTAATATATATTTTTTCGTTTACCAATTCGTATCATATTTCATCTCAATTTAGTTCAACATTTGACGAAAAATTGATTAATTTACTTAGGGCCAAGTTCAACCCTTCCAAGTGGCCAAAATCCAGCTTCATTACATATACGATAAACAACAAAATGACCTCTTAATAAAAGTAGAAACTTATAGATAATCTTCGACTGAAATGGTCAAAGAGTAATCAAAGCATTGATTAATGGTGAAGTTTGAGGATCATAATTTTAATTTAAATGGTTAGGATGATCCAATTATCCAAGCAAAATTAATGATCGGTTGCTCCACGGATGCTAAGTATTAATTTAAGTGACAATGAACTTCACTTATTAATTTGTCTAACTGATCGAAATGCATCCCGACTTTGAGTTTTATGTAATCGGTATACATCAGTCATTAAAAGCCATGCATGTTTGAATAGGACTCAGTAAGTTTCTTATCAAATTTCGGGCCAACACTGGAAATCAAGATACCAAGAAAGATGGTATCGTCCAAAGGCGGAAGATTTACTAGGGCTCCAACGTCCCTTAAAGTAATAGATAGGGGACCAAGAGGGAAAACGAAGGTATTATATTCAGAAGATCAAAAACTCAAAGCAATCGAAAAAAGCACTGGGTCGAAATTTGGGGATTGAAGAGTGATTTCTAATAAGTCTGAAATCCTAGCGCCATCAAAAATCGCTTTGGTAGGGCCATGATTCACAAGACGTGCATGCCATCTACGAAAAATAACATCAGTTTTGGGCCAAGTGCGAATACCTTTTTTGCGAATCGGCCTCAATGGCAGAGAGTTCAAGAACGGAGGTTCTTGAGTGCAGGGGAACAGTTGGCCCATCGCCACTTATCCAACGACTTCGACATTATTGAATGATGAAACCAGATAGAATTCATTGAGGTCAGCATTGACTGGTGCAAGGAAGTTTGGATTTACATACGGCCTAGTAATGATTTTTTGAAAATTTTCGAAACTAAAAGAATCATTAAATCGAGTTTGTGAAGTCGCCATTGGGTGCAATGTACAGTTTTGTTAGGATTTGCCTACGAAACGTAGTAGAGAAGCAAGAAGATGAACATTAAAATAGTGAGGAGGAAGCGCGAAATATAGAGACGGCGGTTTAGTGGTGCGATGAAATGGCGTGTCTTTTGGGTTTATAAGGGTTTGTAACGTTGCATCTTTTCAAATTATAGAAGGAAATAATGATTGAAATTCTTGAAAATTTCAAATGTTGCTTGAAAATACAAAGTGAATATGGCAAAGATTAATAATTGGTATTAATTCTGCCATATTGGGGGTAATTGTTGACATACTAAAAGTGCAGCTCAAATCAAATAGCCCAAAGAGTAAAGTTCAATTGGGGAGTTCAGGATAAAGGTCCAAACATGATTATTGATGAATGCAGTGGAAGCCGACGAACACAATAACATCATCGCCCAAGCTTGCAATAAAATTCAAACTTCCGCTTGCAAGCACAAGAATTTATCTTTTATTTCTCTTAATTTAAGAAAGTCGATGATATTTTTAGTCTCTACCATTTTATTTTATTTTTAATTCAAACACAAGTTACTTTTCATTGCTAGGACAACGGAATGTAATCTATGCTTTTTACTCTTTAATTTAATTATCGATGTTTTGCATTAAAGTATGAATTCATGTTGAATTTTTTTTATTGTTATTAATGTTGAGATCGAGGGTTAAATAAATGTTAATGCTTGTAGTAATTAATGTCATAAATTTGCAGGGACGGATCCAAGTTTGAATTCAAGACCAGGCTAAAAAATTTCAAATTGGGCTAATATGCAGAAAAAATTTTTACTCGTTAAAAATCTATTTTTATGAAAAAAAATAAAGAAAATTACCCTAAAAAAATTTAAAAAAAAAAAAAAAAAAAAAAAAAAAAAAAAAAAAAAAAAATATTGGGGGGGGGGGGGGGGGGGGGGGGGGGGGGGGCTAAATCCGTAAATTTGTATACGAGATAGAAATATGCTTCTATGGTTTTTGTAGAATTAAATGAACTTTTGTTGATTTTAATGGTAACTAAGTATGCTTATTTCTGAGCTTTTGTTAGTTATTTTAGTCTAGTTTTTATTAATTTTGTGTTGCTTTCTTGATTTAGGGTGATTACAGAGTTCGGATAGCGTTGTTGATAAAAGTGATAAAAAGAGTGTTTTGAACTCAATGCAATGGCAAGACCGAACAAGACAAACGACACCACAAATGACTCGAAGAGAGAGAATGATAAAAAATAAAATGGAAGTACTTGATGATGTGCCCTAGTTTGCTTACGATGATTACAGACTTTCTAAGGACAATCACGAGCAATATGACAGAATCCTTTGCAACCAAAGCACTGGAGTTCACCCTTTCCTTATTCTTGGGCAGCATATGCAACGATTACCACATTAGAGGAGGATATATTAGCTTCCATAATAGTTTGGGTAGTTAGTCGTTGCTTCTCACGTAAAAGTTCACTAAAGCACACATCCAAAAAAGGAATTGGATCGTGATTCAATAAACTCGCTTGAGCAACTTCAAATTCAGTTCGTAATTTCATAAGAAACTGATCCCATTTATCAATCTCTTGTAGAGACGCCACAAGGACGTTAGCATAAATTATGCAAGAGTATTCACTTCACAATTTCAAGAAACCAGAATAATATTGCTCAATAGTTAGATTACCTTGAGTGTAATTGGCAATCTTTAGCTTCAACTGAAGTATCCGTGATAGATTCGAAGTATTTTCATATCGTCTTAGCCATGGTGAAAGAGAGTAATTTATTCATCATATGCACCGCCATAGATCCCAAAATTCAGAAAATATTACATTTCGTCAATTTATCATCGATGTCGTTCTACTTTTATTTGTTTCTTTCTTTCCATTAACATGATAGGCTAAATTAATTTTGTATTAGGATTACGATGAAACTTATATCATGACCCCTTTGATTTTCGAACTTCATTTATTTTTTAGCTCAAAGCACATTTTCGATTATTGAATGATTGACATGAATTCGGGATCCTAGCATGCTTTTCATCATCATATTTTTTATAAAACTTGTATTTAATTATAACCTTGAATTGATTTTAGTTAATTTAGGTGTTTTATTCATAGGTAAGTTATTTTATTTATAGGAAAAATAACAAATTTCAATTGTTTAGATAAAGACGAAGATAATTTGAACTTAAACTAGTATAATTGCTGCGAAACGATACTTGAACTCAGATCCATTTTATCAACAGACCATGCACTTCAGTATTTCAAAACGAAGCAATATTTTTATGACAACGGTTCAAATAAATTAAGCAGTTTTGACTGTTAACATGAACCAATAGCACTGTGTTCACATAATTAATTTGATTAACGCAGAAAAACAACAGGCGAAATCAATTTACATCGCGGAAGAAAAACTTTTTCTTTCCTTTTCCTTTATTATATATCTATGGCTTCACCGTCTGCACGTTTTGAACTCCAGTCCCATTTGTAAGTAAAACATTTACCTGCAGACTGTAGTAGAATTCCGGAGACACTCTTTGGGAACGCATATATATCTCTATAACGTCTACAGCTAAAAATGACATTCAAATTTAGAAAAGTAGGAAGAATCGATCTGAGAAACCTATAGATAATCGTCAACTGAAATGTTCAAATCTTCACCTTCATTGGACTTCCCACACCCGTCCCATGATGTTTCGCAATACTCATTTTGCAACAAATTCAAATAGGTAAGTTATTTTATTTATAGGAAAAATAACAAATTTCAATTGTTTAGATAAAGACGAAGATAATTTGAACTTAAACTAGTATAATTGCTGACTCAGATCCATTTTATCAACAGACCATGCACTTCAGTATTTCAAAACGAAGCAATATTTTTATGACAACGGTTCAAATAAATTAAGCAGTTTTGACTGTTAACATGAACCAATAGCACTGTGTTCACATAATTAATTTGATTAACGCAGAAAAACAACAGGCGAAATCAATTTACATCGCGGAAGAAAAACTTTTTCTTTCCTTTTCCTTTATTATATATCTATGGCTTCACCGTCTGCACGTTTTGAACTCCAGTCCCATTTGTAAGTAAAAGATTTACCTGCAGACTGTAGTAGAATTCCGGAGACACTCTTTGGGAACGCATATATATCTCTATAACGTCTACAGCTAAAAATGACATTCAAATTTAGAAAAGTAGGAAGAATCGATCTGAGAAACCTATAGATAATCGTCAACTGAAATGTTCAAATCTTCACCTTCATTGGACTTCCCACACCCGTCCCATGATGTTTCGCAATACTCATTTTGCAACAAATTCAAATCCTCCTCCTTCCCATTCTCCCGTTTATTCGTGCTGTTCTCCGAAGATAATTGAGCGTCCATGGCCATGCCAGCATCGGAGGCCGCATTTTGCACTGACCTGGGCGACAATCCCGTCCGGGCACTTGCAGGTAACATTAAAGGGAAGTTGAGTTTCTCCGGTGATGAAATTCCTCGTAGACAATAAAATGCAACATCGTGTGCTATTGCTGCGGCTTCAGGCGTTGAATAAGAGCCTAACCAGAGACGTTCTTGCGTGCCAGGAACTCGAATTTCCGACACCCATTTGCCCCATTTTCGACGTCGAATGCCTTTGTATTTCTTCGTATAACTTCCACCTTCATCTGATGTACTACTCATTCTTCAAATGTCATATAACTTTTAATGAATTATGCAAGTGATTATATATATATATGTTGAAGAATTAATGATATGGTCAAAAGGAGACTTTTGGGACATGAAGGGGCAAAGAGATGAACATATAAAGTCAAGAATTTCAAAGGTCAAAGTAAAATAGGAATCGGACTCTATACATCCACTTGGACATTGAAAGTGGGATGCGGGGCAGAAAAAATCTCTTCGAATTGCAATTGGGATATCCCAGCAATCAATGCTCATATACTTCCACACCGTTCTTAATAAAGAATCAAGTCAAAATAGATTGTGTGCAAAAAGGTAGTGGTCCTACTCCCTCGCCAAAAGGTGTTGGAGCATATTAAAACAGAAAATAAGCTCTTTGTTTGAGCCCCATTTTTCCTCCAAAATACATTTCTCAATAGTGATTTGATACCATTTCAATCACGTATTATTTAATAAAATAATATTATACGCAAGTCAAAAAAATTTTCTTATTTTTTAACCACATATTTTTCATCAATATACTATTCAAAAATTCATTTTCTCCTATAAAATGGGGCTCAAACAAGGGCTAAATCTATCATTCCCCTTTTCACCATTTAAAAAATTTTGAGTTTTAAATTTTACTTTCAATCAATCATGAAAAAGTCATTGCGTCATCATTAAAAGAGAAGAAGAATGAATTGACATGCAAATAACGATAAATGGTCAAGATAAAATTTAATTAAATAAAGATTAACAGTATAAAATTGCGAATTGTCTTCGTTTTTATTTTCAATCCATGGTGAAGTTTTCATTTGTACAAATTTGTATTTTATATGATTCTCGTACTTTATTCGACCGCTTTTGTTTACCTTTGAATAAGAGCCACTAATTGCTTGCATTTTGCATCACCTGAGACGTAATCAAAATTCATCTTAGGATGAGATGGCATGGGATATTAAAGGCAAGTTGGCTACAGAATCTAAGTTGAAATAGTCAGAGTAAAAACAACGTTTGTGTTTTTACACCGACTGGTCGGTGGTACGTCCATTGGACTGAACCATGTTTGAAAATGGGAAAAAGATCCTATACAACTTTTCTCGGCCGACTTCTTTTGATGTTACACTTGATATTTACACTGAATCTTTCATTTGTCTAACCTTAGAATAGATCAATGTTGGTTAGCCTCTACAGTTCCTGTATAAAAAATCATGTGGGACAATTTAAGTTCGTTCAACACTATCATGCTACACCAAAATATTAAAGATCATAATCCTGACCGCAAAAGTCCAAGTTTCGATTAAAAATCAATAGATTAATACAAATGGCTTCAACTGCCTCCGCTACTCATAAATTGTAATTCCAACATCACTTCATTGTTTAGGCCATTCGACAACCAAATTATATGTTCAATAGGGTCCCCGGGATTTGCTTTTACTATAAGCAAAACAAAGTAATTACAGAAATTACACACATCTAGCCCCTGTTTGGTACTCATTTTTGAAGCCAAAAATGCATTTTTTCCGTCACATCAGCACACAATTTTTGACTTCTACACTCTAATGGGAGACCCACGATATGATGTTTAAAATACATTTTCATCTAAAAAATGTGCACCAAACGAACTCCTACAAAAGTGTGAAGATCTATTTGCAATTACGAAATAATTGTGTCTAAAATCCTTGGAATGAGAATGAAAGAATCCTAAAGAGTCCATCTGGGTTATCAGCATGTACCTGGAGCAAAGATTACAATTGATAAGGAATATGAAGCACAGTGTTTCATGAATTGGGAATTCACAATTTTCTCCAATTATTGGATTTTTAAGGAGATGGAAATATTCAGGTGAAGATGCAACATACCCAATGACCAGCATCTTCAAGCACATGCATTTCAACTCCACCACCCTCCTCAACAGCTTGTTCCTCAGCAACATGAATCCTCTGCAAATCTTCCTTGGCCCACCTATGCAAACTCCTCTCTGCTTTTAGAAAATTAATATGAACGCCTCGAGGGACATCTTCCACAATTTTCCTGCATACATAAAAGAACAATAACGGTTCTTCAACTAAGTAAAATATGTCATATTTGATTAAAGTGAAAAAGGTTCTTTTTACACGATTCATTTTCACAAAAAACATGCTAGACTACTTAAATTAAATATACCAGAAACAGACAACAAAATCACTGGAGAACTGAGAATAGTCATATCAGTTTTTATCCAATACCAAGCCATATAAGATTTCTTTCTTTTCTTCTTGGTTCTTACTGGGGTGGGTCTGTGGGATGCAAACTTACCACATATTAGTATCCTCATAGGATTGATACATCTCAGCAATACCATTGAGATCAAACACCCAAGAGAAGCTTGAAGATGATGTCCCGTTGATACGATTCTGCCGAAGATTAGTTACCACCCACTGAGATGGAACGGCAGAGAAAAAATGAAATTAGAAGGAAAACCTAAACAATAAAAGCATGTTTGGGAGTTGTTTATAAATGATTTAAATTATAGATAGACAGAAATGAGTGGTGGATAAGTGGAAGTGGATAGCATTTGTGAGCCTAAAAAATATGTAGATAAAAAGTAGTTTGACGATTTATGAACAAATTATAAACAGGAGCCAAACATGCGCTAAGTTATAAGCATCAAATCCACCTCTGCAATGTTTGTATAGAAAAATGAAAAAGAAATTTAACAATGTTATCCAGTAAATATATCTTAATTCACCTGTGCTACATCCATTGAGAAGCCATCCTGAACAAGAGCATTTACAACATCCTTTTTGGAAGAGACCTTCCTTGAAGAATAAGTTCAAACATAAGGTGTAATTTTGTATCAAGTAATTAAACAATATCAATAGAGTTTCATAAAAGAGAAGCATAGAATCGGCAATCACCAATGGCATTAATTACAAAAACAACATTACAGTATAATTTCAAAAATAGAAATTAGCAACGTCAAGAGAGGTGGCGACCTTAAGTCTCAGACTAGGTATATATCTAAGCTTTTGTCTCATTCACACAATTGGCTGCTTTGCATACTTGAACTAGTAACCTTGAAATTATAAGTTTAAATCTATGCATTTCTAACTCATGTATAGTCCAACATGAAGCAAAAATAATTAAGATATCCAGAAAAATTTAGTAGCACAAATAAAATAACAGTGGCTTTGCAAAGCTTAATGGGGGAACAAAAGGAATAAAGGCGAAAGAATCCATAGTTACCTCAAGTGGCAATTTACTAAGGAAGGAGATAAGTTCAGCAGGATGGTCATCTCCATCTGCACCAGCTCTAACTTTTCCAGGAGTAGCATCTAAAAGCCAGACCTACAATGCCGATACGCATGAAAGCAGAAGGGAGAACAAGGAAACAAGAAGACCAAGAAATAATTACAGTGTAAACTAAAAACCCAAAAACATACATAATTTGACATGCGCAGAAGGGAGAACAAGGAAACAAGAAGACCAAGAAATAATGAAAATATAAACTGAAAACCCAAAAACATACATAATTCGAACAATCATCGACCTTACAAGTCAAAATCTCAAGAAATTTCACCGAGGCAACTGGAAATTTGGCAGCTAGTTTTAGGTTGATAATATTCAGTACAGGCAATTTACAGTGATCAACCTATCTTATCAACTTCCGAAATATGCAAATAATAAGAAATACAAAAACAATTTAAAGATTATTGAACTCTGCTTACTCGAACAGGTCGTGCAAGAGGTTTTGCAACCTGCTCCACCATGCTCAAGGCAACTGCAGAACAATAAGAGAGAAATTAAGCATACTGTACCAGTCTGACCCATAACATAGTTAAAATAATAACCAAAACATATGCATCAAAAATCATTAATTAATATATAACACACTTATTGACACTAGAATGGATATTAATTTACCTTTTCCACCAAAGCTGTGACCAACTACAACTCGAGGAGTTAACTTCAACTGCCCAAGCTAGTCGAAAGAATTAAAGAATTATGATTACATAAACAGAAGATAAGCAGGACAAACTTCAAGTTTGATTATATATATTATTCTCAATAATTCAGAGTTTTTTTATTTTTTTATTTTATTATTATTATTATTATTATTATTATTTTTTTTTTTTTGGAGTAGAATCTGGAGTTTGTCGTTTTTTCTTAGTGATTTCGAATAGAACAAGTATTCAAATGTAAGAGAATGGATAGGTATCTTGATTTCTAATATCTTAGTGTTGGTATATTCCTTTTATTTTATTAGAGGGGTTTCTCTTGATTGGATACAGAAAAAGAAGACCATCCCCTTTGTGCTTCACTATGTCTAGGTAAGTCTACGTTACATGCAATAGTACCTAGAATTACTACTGCAAAAATATATAAAAGATCATTGGACCATTCGGGTTCTCCATAATAAAAAATAGGGGCAGAAAATTTATAGAGAGAATGTTATTTGCTTTTTGACTCAGACCCGATGGTCACTCTATTTTATGTTACAACTGGAACTTCAAAACAGAAGCTATAATGCAATAAGCATTACACAAATGATTGATCATTTTCACTAATACTATGTCATAACTGCTACAAACCAAAAATTTAAGGAATTGCACTAAGAATTTTCCCTTTGCCCTTTTTCAGGGGAAGGGGTTGGCAGAGCCTGGGGGAAAGGAAGGCAATGGCAGCCAGAAGAAGTCCACAAAAAGGACCAAGGATGCAGGAACCAAAGTCTTAAATACCTATTCTGGTAGTGTCTGTATCATTACCAATCTTTTTGGAGGATTTTTTCAAGTATCTTCACTTTTTGACCACTGGGTATCTATTCCTTTAAGGATAAGTTTTAGTTGTAACTTCGTTCTGTTTGTTCTTTTACAGGAAAAATTATAATTGGAAGCATTATTTGTGATTTTCATTCTGGAGTGCAGCAATGGACTGCCAGATAAGAATAGTAGGTGTCCACATCTTTCTGTATCTTCTGGGGAAGATTCAATTGATATTTTGGTGTGAGATGAGTCTGAAAGGTCGGGAAACCAGTTTAGTTGGACACAGAAAGTGCTTGGTTCCCCCAAATTGGAGGATTTAGAGATTCACGTACTAGCTTCAAGACATCAAAGGCAGCTGAAGGAACACTGTGGGGTCCCCTCTTCTTTAAAGATGTCGAATCCCCATGACACCGCAGGTCCACCAGGAGAAACTGAGGCAACAAAAGCACTAATGAAGAGTGAGTTCTGGACTCATAATAATGTAGCAAAAAGAAATAATGTTTACTACAGCAAATCATGTCTAATAATAAAATTGCAAAAAGAAATATTTATCACAGCATATACAAGTTTGCAAAATGCACAGCTATTTAATATTACATAGCTCTACAAAATACTGAAAGGCGAAAGCAATATTCTTTAATTCACCATACATCCCTCTTTTTCCCTATATTTAAGGAAACGTGTTCACTACACCAATTTCCACTGGCTTTACAGTTATCACTCAGCAGTTAAGACTAAATTTCTTTTAAATAGTTTTCCTGCAAATGCTCCATCTGAACACAGAATCAGGATCCAGGACTGAAGGTTGATATAATGGCTCCGATTTCTTTTGCCATAATCTATTTGAAATATAGTTTTCATAGACTAGACACGTGAAAATTCCATTTCCAGATAATTAAAAGACAAACTGTAACACTAGAAGCTAAGGTCTATAAGGGGCTTACTAACCCATGATTAGCCATGTATCTTAAAAAATGTTTAAGCATTTAAATACTATATTCTTACTTCTAATACGATAAAACATAATGAAATAAACTTACTTTTAGTTGAGTAATGGAAGTAATGACATAAGCATAAACCTAGTGCAGCGTTGAGATACCTGCCACTTCGGAAACTCTTTGGCCAATCTCCTAGCAAAAGTTCCTGTTACATTTTATCATAATTAACAACAATAAAAAGTTGTAACTTATTCTACTTGAATTTAAAAGTAATGCAGATCTTTACCAACAATGTTGGTGCAAAACATGGTATGAAGGAACACCAAAGAATGTAGTAAAGGCACTAAGAGTTCCAACACCACCCGGTTAGAGGATAAGGTCCGCAAGAATCAGGTCTCTCACTCTCAAATTGTTGGTAACATACCATAAACAAGAATACAAAGCTACAGTTTCACTCTTCCCCTCCCAGTATCTACTTTGGTTTGAAGCTTCACGGTCTTAGGTCTTCCTCAGCCTAAACATCTCGGTGACCCATATGACCCAAAGGGTCTTTTTACACTTATTTTCTTATTCAACCAGAAAATGATTTCAAGCAAGCACATAGACTAAGTTCATCATCTTGTGAAAGAGGGAGCATTCCTGCTTGGCCCAAATAAAAATTGTTTGCAGGACCCACTAAAAACTTCGCTCAGAATTTTTTCTTCCCAATTTATCATCTTTTTCCAAAATAAGATCAATCTCTGAACTCTGAACAATTTTGCATTCCATGCCTCATTATGATGATAAACTTATTTTTCACCTAACAGTATATTGTGAGAGAGACACTGATAAAGAAAGATAAAATTCTCCATTAACATCATGCAAAGACATTGAACATCTACTCAAGGAATATTGATATTACAGGTTTCTTCTACATAAATTCATGACTAAATTATAGAGTAGGTACCTACCCCAGTTTTTCCTGCTACCTAGAATGCCATGAAGAAGAACAGCAGTAGGAGGCTCAGGTGCTGATTTGTCCAAGATGTAACTCCACCTCACCTGAGCACCAAAAGTTCACAGGAAAGTCCATATACAAAATAAAATACCAATGATAAAGTAAACGTGGAAAGAATAAGCAAATATAGATCACTCTGCAATTTAAGGCTCGTGCAGATTAATCATTAATTTAATACAGGAAGCTTCATTTAGCAATATGTAACTACTTCAGTCATTCTAATACTCTCCTGCATATATATACAATGACTGATGCTACTGCAAGAAAAGAATTATCCACTTTCTGTTTTGTCCCAAGAAATATCATTAGAGAAGCCATATCAATTTTTAACTAAGTGTATGTGCTCGTCAAAATGTTAAATGTAAAGTAATGACAAATCCTTATCTAATTTTTCTGCATTCATTACATTAGATAGAAATCTCATATATTTTCAAGAAATGGATAAAAGGAAAACAGCATGGTGGTCTATATGATAATAAGATTCCCATTACAAATGCGTTTTAGTACCCGCAAAATTGAAAAATGACAAAATGACAACTTCAACCTCAGCTTCAGATGACCAAATGTAAGTTATGATTTTTTTTATAACTGGTATCCACCATCACCATTGTATCTAACATATAATGATTAGATAAATTTTAGTTCATATCTGTCACCGTTCAAGAAGTCCAATTAAGATAAAGATTGGTCTAGATAACAAATTAGTGTACTAAACAGCCTTTACAGAAGAACAAAGTGTTCTATTTCCAATTTATACTTTCAGCAAAGAATGAGGTCTCCAGAAAAGGGATAAATCCAAAACTGACGACCTCGGTTATAAACTACAATCATCTGTAACTGGAATAAATGGAAACATGGGACTCACATCTGCTCCTTGAACAAGATCATAAGCCTGCATAAATTAGCAGTTTATATGGCGTTAGATTATATTTTTTTTGATAAAAAAATGTAAGATGAAAATGCGTTTTGATTACCAAAATGTCAGCAGGCTTTAGGACAATACTCCTACTAGTAAGCCTCTCATCCACCAATGACATCTGAATAATTGGACTCGTGTACGCCTTTTTTGAGTTATTTAAAGATACCTGAGCAATGCAAATTAAGACATTAATACTACAGTTAACATAAGAATTTCCAACTTGAAATGCCAAGACGAAGCTAACTAGAACACATTTTAGGTTTAAATTCCGAGCTCGGACTCATCACGCCTCACTTGTAGAAACAGTTATAGTAAACGGAGTTCATTTTAAAACAGTACATAGACAATACTTTGGCAGGTGAAGCTTCCAAACTTCAGAGAAGTGTGTGGATGTGTAAAATATAATACTCGCATCCGAATTTCCAGGTCTAGTTATCAAAATTGAAAATTTAGGGGCTCATTTGAGGGTTAATGCACCTTCTAGGACCTTATAGCAAACTTATCATAAGCGCTAAATCCCACATGTTTTTGATAAAAATTCGTGGTCAAACACTTACATAGAAAATTCTTGATTTATGCTTGATTGATTGACCAAACATAAGATAATATGTAGTGTGAATGCATAAATGTAGGTATGATGGAGAGATTCTTGCTCATTTCATAAATTTCAAGAGACAAATTCCACCATCATGAAATTTTCCTTAAAGATGCATGTCTAATCTTCTCCTATTTAAACCCCTCATTCACATTCACATACTACCACTCACTAGTATATTTTTTTTAGTCCAAATAATATACACATACACATTCATAAGCCAAGGTGGAAACTATAGATGGATCAAGTCTCTATTATTCTTTCATTCAAATTTCATTGTAAGTACGCTGACTATGTTGAATTATTGTTATGTTATGAATTTCAAGAAAATTATTATGGGTCTCATATGCTATGATATGATTATGATTATTTTAAAGGGACCAGAGTTTAATAGCACTACACATAAGAATTCTTACCACCTATGTTCGGTAAATTCTTATGTCTCCATTATGCTGATTATGATTATTATGCTCTTTTAAGTTATATACAATAATAATTCATGACGTACTTATTAAGATTTTATAAATCTAACCCTATGATAATTCCACCTTTCAGGCAACTGATGGTTCGAAGCAGTCAACGTGAATATGGCAATGAGGCTAGAATTAATAAATTGTGTTGTGTTTAAAACACAACTTTGAATTTCAAATTTAATTGTTATGTTAGAATTATTTTCTTTCTTTCATTTTTCGCAGCTACATGATACAACCAAAACTTATTTACTCATTGAAGAAAAAATAAAAATTATTTCATGTTCTTATTTTAGTTCTTATGAAAGAATTAGGTTTTATTCAGTGACTCTCGAATAGTCAAGGATTCGGGCCGTCACATTTGGCGTCAGAGCTAAGAGTTTTCAAATTGGTTCTGTAGACTTAACATATATATTTTCAAAATTTTGAGCTTTAAGAATTTTCTGAATTTTTTTTTTATTTTTTTTTTATTTTTTATGAAAATGCATTTTAGAATTGATTTATTTAGTTGAGCTTTATTATAAATAGACTAATAGCTTTAGTCCAAGAATCGGTTTGGATCCAATGATTATGATGAATTTTTCGAAAACAAGTTGATATTTAAAATGAGATTTTAAGTTGTTCTAAGTCACTAGCCACTATGCCATTCTCTATGTCTCGACTTCCCTGAATCGGGTATGTATGCACTTTAAATATTCATGTCATTTCACTTATGAAAGCATGTTTATTACGTAAAATAGCAATCATGAATATCATGACAAAAGAAGAATATAGTTGCAATTTATTTAGACTTGTTATGCATAAAAGTCAATAAAAATATAAAATTTTGTATGTTATAAGTGTTTACTATTACGTTATTGATAGAAGATCTTAGATTTTATACTAATGTAGAAACCATGAAATATATAGATGGTAGCTATGTGATTTTAAATGCATGTTAAGTTTAATGGAAATGATTCAACTAGAGGTTAAGTTTACGATAATATAGAATCACATATTATATGAATTAGATTAATAATGAATCCACGTACGATAATTCATCCATTTATCACTACCTTTGTAAAAAAAAGGGTAAAACTGTGGATGGTTATTAATATGTTTTCCTAAAAAATTTCAACTCTTGGTACAATTATTCATCACTTTATCACTACCTTTGTAAAAAAAAAAAATAAATAAATAATAATAAATAAATAAAAATTGTGGATGATTATTGATACGTTCCCTTAAAAATTCTAACTCTGGTATAATAACTGATTCTTTTACCACTACCCCGTGTGTAAAAAATAATAATAATAATAATAATAAAAATAAAAAATTGAAAAGTTCTTTTGGAAAGAAAAGTAATTACGTTCCTTTCTTTTTAATAGATGGTGAGTGGACAAGGTCAAATCAGTCGAATTGAGAGGCGCAATCATTTTACTTGGTTGCATAGGAATTACAAGAGAAACCCGAACCATGATTTGCTACAGCACTTAGATGCCATGGAAAAGATTTACCGAGGGGCAAAGGCGAATGGATATCAATTTCATATGGATGAGATCGTGTATCACCTTGACTGAACCCTTACTCCTTATTGGAGGCAATTTATCAAGGGAATCGAAGAGACCTTCAACTACCAGACCTCTCCTGATTTATTACTTCGATGCATGAGGGAAGGGTGGAGGGTGAATCGTGAAGATGTTGGAGATACCAATAAGATGCCAGATTATGAACCTAATCCAGGCAATGTCATAACAATACTTGAGGTTGACTATGAGGAAAATTATGTTGAAGAAGACCCAAGTGAAGAATACAACCCCGCATCGTATTCCGCGATTGATCCGAAACCAAATCTTGAGGAAAAAGAAAGGGAGGGGACTGGGAAGAACTATTAGATGATGCCTAGTTGACTTTACCTTTTTCAATTTTTGAATTTCAGTTGTTTGGACACTGAGTATACTCGTTGGTTCGTTATTTACGTGAACTTATGAATATTTATGAATAAAAGCATGCCATTACTTTATGTTTCATATCCTCAATTTAACTTAACTCTAAATAATTATTATCATTTAATTAGAAGTACTAACAATAACAATGACCAAAATTAAGAGTCCGCACAACCTGTTCAGTCTCAGTCTAATACGATTGACCCACAGTTTGCCCAGCAATTTTTCGCTATGATGCAAACTTTTGTGCAAGCTACGATGCCGCCACCACCTCCTCAACAGCCAACACCATCATCTTATCCGCCACCTCAACTAGAACAACAGCACGAAGTTACCCTCGACACTAGGAGCATTGTTGCTGTGGTTGAGCAGTTAAGGAAGCAGCATCCTCCTATCTTTCATGGTAGTACGGACCCCTTGGAAGCGGAGGACTGGCTGGTGGGTATGGAGAGAATTTTTGAACTCATTAACTGCCCGAGACCTAGAAGGGTGATATGTGCAACCTTTATGCTACGTAAAGGCGCTAGACGGTGGTGGGACACCACTGCTACATCAAGGGCTCCTGGTCATGTTTGGATGTGGGATGAATTCAAGGAGGCCTTTCTGAAAGGGTACTACCCCACGAGTATTCGAAATCGAAAGGAGGTTGAGTTCCTCACTTTGACTCAGGGCTCAATGACGTTGATCGAGTACGAGCAAAAGTTTGAAGAGTTGGCTCATTATGCCCTTGAGTTTGTGGATACAGAAGACAAGAAGGCAAGACGTTTTGAGTAGGGTCTGAGAGATTATTTGAAACGGATTGTCATAGTGCTTCAGCTTGAAAACTATCATGATGTGTTGGTAATGGCACAATTGGCAGATTTCGAGAACCATACTAGTGGGGAGGAAAAGCAGCTTAATGGACAGTCAGAGAAGCGAAAGTGGGTGGATAATAAGGGTAAAAGGAAACAAGATTATGCCAAAAAGAGCAGAGGAAATTCAGCGAAAGATGGTAACAAGAGTTACCCATGCTGTGGAAAATGTCAGAAGCATCATCAGGGAGCTTGCCTTTTGGGGACGAATTCATATTTTCGATGTGGAGGACAAGGACACATGGCTCAGTATTGCCCAAAGTATGGGAGCAACCAGCAGGGGAACAACCAACATATACAGGGCCATGCACCAGGAGGACATGCTAGGGTTTATACACTGGCAAGGCAGGAGAAGGATCAGAATTGAAATGTCTTGGCAGGTAAAGTCCTCATATCCGACTTACTAGCCTATGTATTGATAGATTCTGGTGCAATTCACTCCTTTATGGCCCTTAAGTTTCTATGTAAACTGGATGTTATGGTTGAATATGCACAATTCCCTTTAGTAGTAAAGATGCCCACTGGGGATATAGTGAATATTAATCAAATAGTTAGAACAGCAAGAGTAGAAATTGCTGGTAAATCATTGGAGACGGAATTGTATTTATTATATATGGACGAGTTTGATGTGATTCTTGGAATGGATTGGCTATCCAAGAATCATGCGATAATTCGTTATTTTGAAAAAAATGTGATTTTTCAAAGACCGGAGGAAGAGAGATTTCGATTATCTATGGCTGGAGGTGGAACCTTACCCCGCACCTTGTCTGCATTGAAAGCCCGACAAGTAGTACCATTAGAAATCACTACGGGATTCCTGATGTCAGTAATAATTAAGGAAGAGAACAATAGATTAACTGTTGACGAGGTTAGGGTGATATGTGAATATCCAGAAGTCTTCCCCGAGGAGTTGCCGGGTATGCCGCTAGAACGAGAGGTAGAATTCAAAATTGACCTTACTCTCGGCTCAGCACCCCTCTCTAAAACCCCGTATAGAATGGCACCCAAAGAATTACAAGAATTGAAGGCACGGGTGGAGGAATTATTGGACAGAGGTTTTATCCGACCCAGTGTATCTCCATTGGGGGGGCACCGGTGCTATTTGTTAAAAAGAATGATGAATCGATGAGGATGTGCATCGATTACATAGAATTGAATAGAATCACTATCAAGAATAAGTATCCTCTTCCCAGGATTGAGGATTTGTTTGATCAGCTCAGAGGTGCAGTGGTATTTTCCAAAATCGATTTAAGGTCTGGATATCATCAATTGAGAATCAAAGCTAGTGATATCTCTAAGACCGCTTTTAGAACTCGGTACGGACACTACGAATTCTTAGTTATGCCATTTGGACTAACTAATGTTCCTGGAGTCTTTATGGATTTGATGAACCGCGTTTTCCCCAAGTATATGGATCAGTTTGTTATCGTGTTCATCGATGAAATCCTAATCTACCCAAGGAGTAATGAGGACATGAATAGCATTTAAGGATTGTGTTGGAGGTTTTGAAGAAGGAGGAACTCTATGCCAAGTTCAAAAAGTGTGAGTTTTGGCTGGAGCGGGTAGCATTCCTTGGACACATTGTCACAGCCCGAGAAATAGAGGTGGACCCTAGTAAAGTGGAGGCAGTGTTGAATTGGTCAAGGCCAACCAATGTAGGAGAAATTCACAGTTTCTTAGGCTTAGCAGGATACTATCGAAGGTTCATTAAAGGATTTTCCAAAATACCAGGACCGTCGACACAATTAACACGCAAGGGTGTGAAGTTTGAGTGGACAGAGAAGTGTGAATAGAGCTTTAAGGAATTAAAACAAAAGCTAATATATGCCCCAGTGTTAATCATACCAACGGGTCAGATGGTTTTGTAATCTATAGTGATGCTTCGAAACAAGGTTTGGGATGTGTCTTGATGCAGCATGGAAAGTGATTGCCTATGCATCCAGACAATTAAAACTACATGAACAAAACTACCCCACGCACGACCTAGAACTTGCCGCGGTAATTCATGCATTAAAAATTTGGAGGCATTATCTTTATGGAGGTAAATGTAACATTTATACGGACCACAAAAGCCTCAAGTACATCTTCACCCAGAAGGAATTGAATATGAGAGAAGGTGGCTTGAGTTAATTAAGGATTACGATTGCGAAATTCATTATCACCCAGGCAAGGTGAATGTGGTAGCTAATGCCTTGAGTCGGAAAACGGCAGGTCAATTAGCTATGTTGACTACGCAAGAACCACTATGGAGAGAATTTGAGAGATTGAATCTCAGAGTTGTCACCACTTAACCAGGTGTAGCCGCTCGAGTAGCAGCTCTCTCTATCCGACCCACACTCCGTGACAGAATTAAACGACATCAAAAGGGTGATCAGTCCTTTGAGTACATCAAGTCTGAAATTAACTCAGAAAAGTGGAAGGATTTCACCATAGCTGAAAATGAAGCATTATATCATCAAGGGCGGATGTGTGTACCAAATTTCGAAGAATTGAAAAGAGAGATTCTAGAGGAGGCTCACTCCTCTCCTTATTCAGTGCACCCGGGAAGTACAAAGATATACAAGGATTTGAAGGCAATATTTTGGTGGGAAGGCATGAAGAAGGATATAACTGAGTATGTCCAGAAATATTTGGTGTGTCAGCAAGTGAAAGCCGAACACCAGCGACCATCAGGGTTACTTGAACCATTGGAGGTCCCAGAGTGGAAGTGGGAGCATGTGACTATGGACTTTGTGATTGGCTTTCCAAGGTCAGCAAGAGGTCACGATGCTATTTGGGTCATAGTGGATCGACTTACCAAATCAGTTCATTTCTTGCCTGTTCAGATGACGTTTACTATGGACCAGTTCGCGCAGTTATATGTGAATGAGATAGTAAGGTTACATAGTGTGCCTGTTTCTATTGTATCGGATAGAGACCCAAGGTTCACGTTGAACTTTTGGAAAAGTCTACACCGAGCTATAGGAACTGAACTAAAGTTTAGTACGGCATTCCATCCTCAGACGGATGGGCTATCTGAGTGGACAATTCAAACATTGGAAGACATGCTTTGGACATGTATCCTCAAGTTTGGGAGACAATGGGAGAAGCATTTACCTTTAGTTGAATTCTCATACAACAATAGTTACCACACCTCAATTAACATGACACCATACAACGCATTATATGGGAGAAAGTGTAGATCACCAGTTCATTGGGATGAAGTCGGTGAGCGAAAGATTTTGGGCCAGAAATTATTGAGCAAACAGTGCATGCAATTGAAAAGATTCGCTTCAGCATAAAAAGTGCTCAGGATGGATAAAAGAGTTATGCTGATAAAAAGAGAGAGAGTCTGGAAGTTGGTGATAAGGTATTCCTCAAAGTAGCACCGATGAAAGGAGTGCTACGTTTTGGCAAGAAGGGTAAGTTGCAACCAAGGTTTATTGGTCCGTTTGAGATCTTGGAACGTATTGGGAATGTCGCATATCAATTAGCGTTACCTCCCGAACTTTCAGCTATACATGACATCTTCCATGTGTCAATACTTAGAAAGTACGTCCCCGATCGAGGCCATGTGATCAACCATCAGTCTATTGAATTACAGAGAGGTTTAAGCTATGAAGAAGTGCCAATAAGAATTGTTAATAAAAAATTTCAAGCCCTTCGGAACAAAGTGATCCCACTAGTAAAAGTACAATGGCGAAATCACTCGGCTGAAGAGGCCACGTGGGAGCGAGAGGTGGAGATGCGGGCAAAGTACCCATAATTCTTCGATGAATTTCAAGGTAAATTTCAAGGATGAAATTTATTTTTAGGAGGGTAAATTATGATACCCGCATTCGAATTTCCACGTGTAATTATCAAAATTGAAAATCTAGGGGCTCATTTGAGGGTTAATCCACCTTCGAGAACCTTGTAGCAAACTTACCATAAGTGCTAAATCCCACATGTTTTTGATAAAAAATTTTGGTCGAACGCTTACATAGAAAATTCTTGATTTATACTTGATTGATTGACCAAACATAAGGTAAAATTCTTGATTTATGCTTGATTGACCAAACATAAGGTAATGTGTAGTGTGAATGCATAAATGTAGGAATGATGGAAAGATTCTTGCTCATTTCATAAATTTCAAGGGACAAATTCCACCATCATGAAATTTTCCTTAAAGATACATGTCTAATCTTCTTTTATTGAAACCCCTCATTTACATTCACATGCTGCCACTCACTAGTATATATTTTTTAGTCCAAATAATATACACATACACATTCATAAGCCGAGGTGGAAATTGTAGAGGGATCAAGTCTCTATTATTCTTTCATTCAAATTTCACTGTAAGTACGCTGCCTATGTTGAATTATTGTTATGTTATGAATTTCAAAAAAATTATTATGGGTCTCATATGCAATGATATGATTATGATTATATTAAGGGGACCGGAGTTTAGTAGCGTTACACATAAAAATTCTTACCACCTATGTTCGGTAAATTCTTATGTCTCCATTATGCTTATTATGATTATTATGCTCTCTTAAGTTATACACAATAATAATTCATAGCGTGCTTATTGAGATTTTATAAATCTCACTCTATAATAATTCCCCCTTTCAAGTAACTGATGGTTCGAGGCAGTCAACGTGGAGATAGCACTGAGGCTAGGATTAATAAATTGTGTTGTGTTTAAAACACAACTTTGAATTTTAAATTTAATTGTTATGTTAGAATTATTTTCTTTCTTTCATTTTTCGCAGCTACATGATAAAATCAAAATTTATTTACTCATTGAAGAAAAAAGAAAAATTATTTCATGTATGAAAAAATTAAGTTTTATTTAGTAACTCTCGAATAGTCAAGGATTCGGCCGTCACATAAAACTTTCTGCATTGCTCATAAAGTTGGATAGCAGATTAAAGATGCTATGATTTGCTATATAATTAATATTAAATAAATTTGCCTTAATTACATTGTCACCATTTTACCATGTTATGAAAGCTATTAAAAGTCCTAAAACTAATAATAAATTGCCATGCAATTAAACTTCATATAGATACTCACATTCAAACAACTAAAACAGCATAGTCTCATAAACTGTTTCTTCTTGTGTCATACGGAGTTACAAGGAAAGCAAGATAAATCACCAAAACATGAAAGTACAGCTATAAATAGCATAAATAATCCATAAAGATTCATATGTACTTGTAAGTTGTGACTGCTAGTTTCATTTTTCTTTTAGTACCTCATTGAAAGGCCTCAAGATCTTGGGTTTTACGGCTCTCTGATTGATCGACGACGTTAAACCAAGCCGATTCTCCGATCCCAGTGTAGCTCGAAATTCACCGTGCTGGAACAGCGTATGAAAATTGGAAATGGCCGACATTTTAATTCAATAATCCTGCACAATTAATTTAATTATCAAAGAATAGAGGCAATATAAATCGTGGAATTGAGGAGGTGAATTCAGGAGCAATATTGAGAATACGGCGGAGACACCGAGGCTTTCAAACTGTCCTAGTCTAATTATTTCTCTCTGTCCGTCTGTGTGTATCCGCCAAAGAAAGGGAATAGAGAACTGAAAGCACGTGAGCAATTATGTGGGCGGAGGCTGGTCGGCGGCGTCAATGTCAATTGACGTAAAAGCCCATGATCGCGCACCAAAACTTGTTAGTGGTGCCCTGTCTTCAACGCGTCCAAATGACATTTGGTTTAGGAAAGGAAAGCGGGCATACGGCCGAGTAGAATTTAGCCCCCGTTTGTTTTATATAATTTGCCCATTAAAATGAAAAATATAATCGTTATTCATTACATCAAATTATCATATTTGACTTTCTATCTTTTGTATGGGATCATAACAACTATATTTTTCATTCTTATTTTTATATTAATGTGTACCAAATGGAAGAAAAACCAGTTGATTCAATTTCAAAAATATTTTTATTTTAATATTGATAGAAGATACTATTGATGAATAGCATTATTCTAAGTAGAAAGTGAACATATTGGAAATTGATGAGTTAATTGTTCCAATTGTTACTAGACTTATGTTCATATTTTTTATTGGTCACTGAACTTTAAAATATCGAGTTTTGATCGTTGAACTTAGGTCCATGTCTTTGGTTGGCCACCGAATTTTAAAATGTCGAGTTTTGGTTACTAAACTTTGAAAAATATCGAATTTTGGTCACTGAACTTAAGTATATGTCTTCGATTGCTCACTGAACTTTAAAGTGTCGAGTTTTAGCCACTGAACTTTGAAAAATGTTATACATGACTTATTGAACTTTGAAAAATATTAACATTACTCACTGAACTTTGAAAAATATTGTACATTATTCACTGTAAACTCGATATTTTTCAAATTTCAATAGTTATCCTAGTAAGTAACGTACGGTATATTTCAAAATTCAGTGATGAAAACTCGACATTTTAAACTTCAGTAAACCATCAAAGACATGAACCTAAATTCAGTGACTAAAACTTAATATTTTTCTAAGTTCAGTGACCAAAACTCGACATTTTAAAGTTCAGTAACCAATCAAAGACATGAACCTAAATTAATGATCAAAACTCGATATTTTTCAAAGTTCAGTAGCTAAAACTCAACATTTTAAAATTCAATAGCCAATTAAAGAATTGAATTTAAATTCAATGACCCTTGAAACGATTAACTCGAAATAGATTGAGTTCGACTATTTATTCATTAAACAAAGTTTACCATCGGACGAATTGTTTACATGCAAGATTTGAAAAATGAAAGTACAAATCTACTTCCTTTACGCTCTTAATTTGTAGAGTTTCCAATAATTTTTTGAGTATGTTGACAATTAACTCTTGAATGAATTTGGGACATGAATCTCAAATCATTTCAAGGCTTTAACTCCATCTCACAGTTGCATTATTAATGGGGAGAAGGGGGGAATAAGAGAGAAATTGAAAGGACGATAAACTTAAAATTGTTTTAACCAAAAACTGCCGTCACAGCAAATACAAATCGTCGAAACATCCATTATGCATAAATAAAGTACGGCTAAACAATATGAAAACGAAGTAACAATCCCTTCACATAACATAGCATTACTGAAAGAGCTTGTTTTGAAACCAAAACTGTCTTGAAAATAACTCTTGAATCCCTAATAATCCTCCCTCAACGATTGGCCTTGGCCACCCTCTCGATCTCATCCTTCTTCTTGATAGCATAGCTGCATCCCAAAACGACGGTGTTACCGTACAGAGTACAATAATAAAGAAATGACAGATGGAAAAAAGATGTTCCAACACAATAATACAAGCATATCATCGTTAGAATGGCAAATGGATTACAAAAGGGAAACCCTTTCTCACCTGTTAGAAGACCCTTTGGCAGCATTGATGAGTTCATCAGCGAGGCATTCTGCTATGGTTTTGATATTTCTGAAAGCACTCTCCCTAGCACCAGTTGTAAGAAGATATACAGCTTGATTAACGCGGCGAAGAGGAGATATATCAACAGCTTGACGTCTCACAACACCAGCAGAACCAATCCTGGTTGCATCTTCTCTTGGTCCACTGCAGAGTAAACAATGTTAAACACTGAAAATGTAAAGTATTAATCATACTGGCATTAAAATTTCAATTCCAAAAAGGCCAACGCTTGTGTAAAAAAAGAATGTTAGCTTGCTCTTAGCATAATGTGATTAATCATATGAATAAATAATAATGATACCGACAACATTACTATGCTTCATTATTATCATTATCGAATCTATGAACTAAACAACAGGACCTTTCACATTTTGAATTCCGGAATTAATTTGAATGACAGTAAAAAGGGTACTCGTAAAAGAGAATTGTTGGACAAGATACACATAATTATCATAGATCTTCGAAATCAAGAGAGTAGGACTATAGAGTTTTTCTGCATACCTGTTGATCACAGCATCAACAATAACTTGAATTGGGTTCTGGTCCGTCAGCAAGTGAATAATTTCCATAGCATGCTTAATAATACGGACAGCCATCAATTTCTTTCCATTGTTACGACCGTGCATCATCAGTGAATTGGTCAGCCTCTCAACAATTGGGCACTGAGCCTTTCTGAATCGCTTGGCTTGGTACCTGCCAGCAGTGTGAGGCATGAAGGTCGGATGCTTGGCAGCAGTTGCAGTGATGTAATCCTCAACGGAAATGTCACTGATCTGTAAAACAAACAAATATTCATTCGTTAATTGTCATACAAGTTTACAGGTCTAAACCATTAACTAGGGTCATTAATTAGCATATGATCAATTACAATGTATATATCATGAACCTTTTCATACCTCTAAAACTATAATTACATACATCAAAAACAAAGTCTCATGTCACACATTTACCTGACAAAACTACAATGACGCATTTCAATGTATAAGTAATTAAGTATTAAAAAAACTTTTGGTATAAAACCAAAGTGAAAGCAGAAACAAACGAAATGATTCACTCAATATTTAATCATAATAAGTTCATATCAAATTAAGGTGCTTGTAATTTAATTTAAGCTAAATGGGCAACTAGACTATAACAAAATGGAATTTTGCTGCATGTTTTAATGTCCATCACACATTTCAAGTTCTTTAAGTAATAACTACAGAAATGAGGAGCAACATATTTTTCTTCTTATCGATGATAATTCCAATTTTGTGACAAAATGATTTAAGCTAAAGATGACGGATCATCATATAGTATTGTTAATAGAGTTATAATTTAAACTTAGTACTGTCTTTTGAATTCTTAATCTCAAATATTGAGCCCCACAAAAAGAACATCAGGATTTCTATTATTAAGCTATAATAAACATATAAAAAAGGCATCTAATTGAATATAATTCGAAAATTCCAAATATTGAATCGGAACCCTACGAAAACACATTCCATAAAATTCTAATATTTTCGGGATTATAAACCATTGATTATAAATCTCATATCCAGAAAAATAAAAATATAAGCAGTGAAATAATTTCGCCTCTGATAAATCTCAAATCCACAACGACAATAATAGAAAATACAAATACAATAATAAAATATGTTTCCATCAAATCTAATAACATGAGTTTAGGTTTAAAAAAGGTTAGAAGTATTAGGAATAGAAGTAAAACCTGAACTTCATCGTATCTCCAGCGATTGAAAAGCAAAACTTCACTGTGAACCCTGTCCTGTGGCTCCTGTCCGGCTACCGCAACAGCACTCTCCATTTTTTCCCAAGATCTGTGTTTACTTGTGTTCTCTGGGGGTGGAGGCGGGTGCTGCACGAAATTGTGGTAAGAGAGACATTAGAGGAGAAAAAGGAAGTTAAATACGAAAGAAACCCTAGCTGGAGTGTGGTTTAGTGGTGTTTTGACAAAAATATCCTATCCATCGATCGAAAATTACTTTTTCCAGACGGGTCCTGGAGTTTCCGCAATTTGCAAGTTACTCCATATAATTTCAAAAAAATGCATCGTAATTCCCACATCTATAGATCTTCTTGCAACATAGTCCCCGATTATTTTAGAATGACAATATTGTTTTGAACATTTTAGTGTTTCATCTATTTAAATCATGAACATGTATTATTCCTTTATTTTTTTATTAATATAAAATATAAATAATTGACATCATACCCTTCATCATGAACCTCTACCGCAAAACTAGCCTTTCCTTCATAATACATTTTTCCACATCCAATCCACTTGACTGTATGATATGCAAAACCATATTTCCCAATTTAATATAGTTAGATGCTTCATCTTGTTGATCGCAAGGATTATGAGAGATGTCTTTGTCATGAGATGATATAACACGGCGATATATGACTCACTTTTCAAATTTGATAAGGATGACTTGTCAATGAGATTGTTTCTTCCATCGATTGATAGAAAGCATGACATGTTCTTGGGATAATTATGGGAATCATCTCTACGGGCTTCCAAGTACTGTGTGTCAATGCTGTCCACATTAGTTCGACCCGTGAAAGCTATGAAGGTATTCATTATGCTAAGAATTGTATGTTATTGACAAATCCATATGAACTTGAGAAATTTCTTCAAATGATCCACATGCAAAAAATTATGGAGCCAACATTTAGACGGGGAATCGCTTTGCCAAACAACGATTTAAAAGGATAGGAGACCAAATAAGTTCTAAAATACTTGGGAGAAACATGGAATCACTTCTACTCGGGCTTCCAAGTACTGGATGCGAATGCAATTCACATTAGTCCGATCTGTAAAAACTATGAGGTATTCATTATACTGAGAATTGCATGTTATTGGCAACTCCATATGAACTAGAGAAATTTCTCCGAATGATCCACGTGCAAAAAATTATGAAGCCAACATTTTTGTGGAGAATTGCTTTGCCATGCACGGATTTAAAAGGGATGGGCCCAAATAAGTTCTAAAATGCATACCTGCAATACAGTATACAACATACAATCTGAGATACCTGCAATACAGTATACAACATACAATCTGAGATGAGAGCAACACCCACACTTTTGTTTGTTTGAAAATCAATATAGCAGTAGTTCCGCTAATTCTCAATAAGAAAGGGAGACGTCAAATAAAAATATTTTTATGCAATTACTCGAGATTTTTTATAATAGACCAGCCATTCCCTACTCCTTAACAAGAAATAAAAACCTTCCATGAAAGCTTTCTTATACAATTATCCGAGACTTTTGATAATAACTAGCCATTCAACTGAAGGAAACCACAACTAAAGAAAAAGAGCTTATAGAGAATGAGGAATTAATCGTAACAAAGCATTGACATTCAATGAAGTCGGAATTATCATGCAATCCTCCAACTTTATTGTTTGCTCTAAAATAGATTTTGTGATTAAAGCAAATGAAGAAGTAGAAATATTTATAGTTGAATTTGAGTCACGTTGTATAGGGAGTCATACTTTTTTACTTGTAAAGTCAAAATTTGGAGGACATTCGAAACATGGTGTAAAGTTATCTTACACAAACTAAGGAAAGACTCCTAAACCCTATTCAAAGAATTGAGAAAATGATTTTATAAAAAATCACACCAGAATAAACAAGCATTTATTAGGAAGCAAGTCAATTTTTGGAATATTTTTCATATTTTTTAACAACATTAAAAAGAAGAAAAAATGTTTTTTAAATTTACATTTTCTGTTTTTTTTTTTTTTTTAAGTTCAAGGTCATTAACTGGGGTACAAAAGTCGAAAGAAATAAGTTAGCATTTACTCCATATGATTATACTGCTATTAATTTTTGTCACCCCTTTTCATGGTTGATAGAAATATTCTGAACAAAAGAAAATGTGATGAAATTAGAGATGTCAACGAGTCGAATCGAGTCGGCTCGAGAGCTGAAACTCGAGTAAAACATAGCAGGCTTTTCTCGAGCTCGAGCTGAGCCAAGCAAAAGCTCAGCTAGAAAAATACGGCTCGGCTCGGGCCTTTACGAGCCAAAACGAACCGGCTCGGGGTTTTTTTTTTTTTTTTTTTTTGGTTTTTTCTGAACAATGTTTATCTAATTTTATGACATTTTTCAAAAAAAATCACTTTTCATAAAGTTCATGTTTCGTCCCAATTTTTTAAAATTGATTGTTACTTAAATTCATTTTTAACCATATATTTACAGGATCAACTTCTAATTACAAATTTTATCAACTTTTATAAAGATTAACTAAAATTTTACTTTTTAACCAAACCAAATAGGAGTAAATTATATTTTCAAAAATCTACTTCAATCAAGCTCTCTCGATATATTAAAATAGTTATAGTTGAATATTTTTAAAAGGTTTAACCACGTTACAAATGTAACTTAAATTTAAAGAATTTAAAAATTACATCATTTATACGAATTACAAATTAAATAAAAGTTACAACTTACAAAATTGCGTAATTTATACGAATAACAAATTAAATAAAAGTTACAAGTTACAACTCTCGTCCTTTTTCTGGGCTTGGGACTGGTTACAATCAACGTAGGAGGAGTTAAAATTGTACACGAATAAAACATTTCGTGTACAATTTTTCTTGAAATAAGTAAGTTTAAAAATTACATTTTTTTAAAAAAATTATTAATTTAAAAACTTACAACATCCTATGTTTGGATCTGCTGCAACTCTTCGATCATTATACTGTCAACATGATCTTGAATACGTAATTTCACACATTCTCAATCCTTTAAGCATATTAAAGCTCTCAATATATCTTCTTTTAGTCTTGATTGTTTATCTGATAAAATTCGACCACCTAAACAGAATGCAGCCTCCGATGCTACCGTAAACACCGGAGGTGTTAGTAGATCACGTGCAATTTTTGATACAATTGGATATTGCTTTCGTTACACCTCCACCAATTTAGAAGACTAAATTCCTGTAATTCTTTTGGTTGTAAAATACTACGAACATCCATGCACATATACCTAGCTAACTCAGAATGAATTTCAAGATTTGTACTACCGACACTGATCGCTCTAGATATTGATGAACTAGAACTAGAACTAAATGAAGGAACGCTTGTATTGCTTTCCAAATAATTCTATAAATTATTTGAATTTGTTGAAATATTTCTTGAAAAAGAATATTGGGAAGTAGAACTACCCTGACCTGTATTTTCAGCATAGTAATTATACATTTCACATAAAAGAGATTCTATATGTACATGTGATAATTCTACATTCAAATAATTTGATTTCCTTTTACAATAGCTTTTGTGCCAGTTAAATTAAATTAAGAGTTCATTATTGAAGCTAAAAAAAATAAAGAGGGTAACTCTTCCCAATATTTAAGAAATTTTAACTACATAGAGCAGACTACATCAGAAAAAAGTGACAAATTCTTGTATTTTTGAAATGCTTGTGAAATGTAGAAAAAATGTTGTAAAACAAGTGAAGATGTAAGGTAATAAACACCGCTACATTCCTTTGTATCATCGAAAAAAGGTTGTAAGATTTTTTTCATGTAAAATGCAATAGACCATTCCCAATCTTCCAAATGATGTTCGGGTCCGAGTGTATGCCTACCATTATAATATAATGAAATCACTTTATCGTAATTTTCACACGAATGTAACATAAGATATGTAGAGTTCCATCTGTGTTACATCAGTGGCAAATGATTTCTCCTGTAATCCATACTCTGTACATAAACTGTTAAATACTTGCTTTCTTAATGTAACACGGTAATAAAATTTATTACTTGTCTAATTTTATCTAAAAGTGAACTTATATTCTAATTCAACTTTTACAATCAAATTGACAATATGTCATACATAACGTTGACGAAAAGATAAATTTCCAAATATGGGGTTAAGATCAATAATAAATCTTTCAACAACAATTTTGTTCACCACAATATTATCAAAAGTAAAACTTCGAACTATATCTTGTATACCATATTCGTGTATGATATCTTTTAAAACCATGTATATGTTAGTGGAATTATAGGGAAAATCTACACACCTGAATGCAATAATCATTTTATGTAAAAGCTACAGGTGATCAATATAATGATCTATAGCAGCAATATAACATTTTCTATTACTACCGGTCTATAAATCAAAGATAAAACGATATAACACTATTAAAACCTTTTAGACCTTCAATAGCAACTTGTTTTCTTTTGTTATATAATTTTATAGTATCCAAACAAAAAGTATTTCTACAATAAGAAAAATACCTGGGTTGGAGATATTTCTGCACGACCTAGGTAAATTGTACCGAGTCTGTCATTGTAAGCGGCATCTTTGCTGCGGCCACGTATGTATCCATTCCTTCACGAAATCTTTCTTGTGAATATACAAAAAGAGTAGAACCAGAACGTCAAACACTAGTTTGGTCTGTTTCGAGTCGAAATCGATTGGTTTCGCTTTGCAACTCCTTAATGCGTGTCTATTCAAATGTGTTGTGCTCGAGTCGGGCTTCCAACTAAGTTCTTTGCCACAGTAATTGCAACATACTTTACAAATATCTATTCAATTCTGAACACCAATTTTTTTTTACGTGTCATATATTGCTAAATCCAATGATTCTTTTTTTGACCTTTTAGTCTCAAGTACTGCTTCCTCTTCAATGTTTTCCAAAGCAATTGGAACATTTTGACATGCATCGTAGTCAGATGGAGTACTCGAGCTACCACCAAACTAATTAACATCATCACTAGTAAAATTCATTAATAACTACCAAAGAAAAAAATACTGAATATTAAACGTTAGAGTGAAAAAAATTGAATATGTTACATGAGAAGTGAGATTGTGAGAACGAAAAAATTAAAATTGAAACTTGAATGATTGTAATACAGTAATAATGAGAATTAAAATTGATAATAAATTGATTTGAAATTTCAAAATTTA